CTACAGGTTTTACGGCACTGCACAACTCTTAAATAACAGTCTACTCCTTTAATCATAGAGGATATCATGGTTGCTTTTGCTTTTCATCACATTAGTATACTTTTCCACAGGTTATATTTTAAATTATTCCTTAAACTGATTAGTAGTAAAACTGGCATTGAGTTTTATTCAGGTACTTGAAGTACTTTCAGAGAAATGGTCTAAGTTTAATTAATCTCCCAAATTAATTCACATGAATGTACTCTTACACTCAGATGATGAAACCCTTAGCCTAGGCATTTCATAATATTCTGCAATAATTTAAAGTACTATTTTCCTCTCTGATATATGAGAACGATGCTAGTAGAGATGCATCTGTCACTAGTCCTTTGTTTGCCCCTAGTGCCTGAAATAAGCTGTAGACCACTGACTACTGGGTTTAAAGTAATTTAAAATAATACAGAAATATTGATTTACAATTCAAAGGATTATTTTGCTTCATTTCTTTGCTAACTGCTCAATAATTAAGGGTCAAATAGAGCCAATTAGGTGAACAAAAAATGTCAGCACTAAACAATTTCTGCTGATTTCCCTGGGCTTCTCAGTATGACCTTGACGTGGGTTGGGAATAGTATTCCCCAATTTAATGTTTCCCACTGAAACATTCCAGACCACAAGCTGCTTGCTCACTCTGTACCCACTCCCCTCCCCGTGGGATAATGAGGAGAGTTGGGGCACAAAAAGTGAAGTTCCCAGGTTGAGATAAGAACATTGTACTAGGAACAGCAGTGAAATAAGAACATGAACAGTAACAACGATGCTAATAACAGAATGCCCAAGGCAGGCGAACGATTCCCATGTGATAGGTCACCAGGCGGACCCGGCACTGCCCAACTGCACCCTCGAAGGCACTCAAACCTTTCCCCTTCTGTCCCCTGTGCATGAAGTGAGGTGGTGTAGAATAGTCCCAGGGTCCTAGCTGCCCCTCCTGGCTGCTGCAAAATTTAAACCTGTCCTGGCTAGAACCAGGACAGACCCTAAGCTGCTTCTCCCAAAATATGCATGACAGCGGAACACAAAGTGATTATTAAATATCTGTATTTCTGAATCAAGCTGTTTGGGTATGTTCTAACAGTAAATTTTGTGCATAGTGAATTTCCAATAGTCTGCATGATTTGGTACATATCTGAACTTCCAATTGTGTATCCAACCCAGCAACACACTTAGCTGTGACTGTTCTTAACCAAATACCAGTAGTCCAAAGCACGACTGCTTGCTTCATGTCTTTTCCATATGTATTACTGCCACAAAGCATCAACAAAGTTCAGGGATTATTTGGATCCTTTCCACAAAAAATAGGCCTAGAATTTCTGCCTTTCTCCCAGAAGTTCTGGAAGCATTTTGTTCCTTCTTATAAGGCATTGCAGGCTGAATCTTAAACTTGCCATGACTCCACCTGTCTACCCCAGCAATCAATTTCCTTTCTCTAATCATATCTTAAACCTTATTCTTCAGTGAAACTGTCAACCAAATACTTAACTCTTATCCAGGCTGAACAGCCTCAACCTCCTCAGCCTGTCTTCATCGGGGAGATGCTCCAGTCCTCTTATCAACTTCGTGGCCTCCTCTGGATTTGCACCAACAGTTCCATGTCCTTCTTATGCTGAGGACATCTGAACTGCACACAGTATTTGAGGTGGGATCTCATGAGAGCACAGGGGGAGAATCACCTCTTTTGACCTGCTGGCCACACTCCTTTTGATGCAGCCTAGAATTGTACTGGCTTTCTGGGCTGCCAGGGTACACTGCTGGCTCATGGTGAGTTTCTCATGCAATATTCTAATAACTGGCCTGCTAGCTTCTCCAAACACTAAAAAGGGAACAGTGGGGAAGCTGGGAAAGATGTTGTGCTGCAGAGAGTTGTACATAATATGCCTTCTAGGTGGCTTCAAGGGTGTGGATTGCTTCATTGCCGTTTATTCTGATCAAACTAATAATCTAATATTCCAGGCTAAAGAAATTAGGCTGTCTTCAGGGAAGCACTAGTAAGAATTTCAACTAGATCCGTTCACAAATGATAGGAAATTAGCCCCACATCACATGTATATTTTCATGTATGACTATGACATTTATATAAAGGCATAATGACAGAAAATTAAACACGAGCAAAATCAAATATTGTTATCATTGGCAAGAAATGGTAAATGTGAGCTAGCAGCAGAATTGAAAACATTTCTCAAGATCTCCTATAAGGGAATACTCTTTGCCAAGAAAAATGTCCCAGACTGGAGTACAGTTCAAAACTTTAGTTTAATTATTGTAACAAAAACATTTATTTTAGTTTATTCTGCTTTATCATAGGAGACAAAAAATACACATTTGGATATTTTATCCTTCTACTATGCCAGTTAATAAAACAGAAGGGTTTAGTATGATATTTATGTTGTAAATCTATGTCCAGAAATATCTGGAACTACCCAATAAAATAACCACCTAAAAATGTTGGAATAAGCAGCTTTTGATATATGACTACACCTCTTTGTTCAAAACTAGCTTCAGAAAACTTTAAATTGCTAACTAGCACAGGCCAAAGCCTGTCCTTTAGTGCAATTACAGAAAGCCACAGACAGTGGACATTTGCTGAAAAGACTAGGTATACAAAGGCAAAATATGACACCATAAGAACTGATTTTAAGTTACCTTTATGTTTAGTACAAATCCTATACTTAACATTTGGTAACCTCAGGGAGGCACAATCTTTCTGATTTCACAATGCCTTGTGCAACCATGGACTTAGGAACTACCATAAATCAGTGTGTAATAGTGTGCAACAAACGTACTAATGAATACTATTGTAACATGGAATAATCATGCCATTGCATACTATTTTAATTTATCATCATAGTAAGGATGATGATATAAATTGAGCTATAGTATACAAGGTCATGATGATGAGATTAAAATTAAGAAAAACTGGAGGGAATTGTTAGGCTCATACTTGGCCAGTGTTTTCTCATTTTCAACATCAAGAGACAACATGTCGTTATATTAAAAAAACCCCATCAACTTCAAAATAGAATGTTTTTAAAAAGTAGTTTCAAAAGTATAGTTCTCTCATGCCTTTAATAAGTTAATTTTGATCAGCACCTTGAACAGGGCAGAAGTGTGACTACTGACTATTAGCATTTTTGACTGGATAAGGACCATGCTCTATGGTAAATACAGTGCTGAGTTTCTATCTTGTGAAGTGAAACATACAGTGGAAATAGATGGGAAATTAAAATGTTGCCTGCTTTTAAATAGCTGTTTAAAGATTTTCAGTTTAATAAAAAAAATATTTTCTTTCATTTTGGCAGTCTGTACCACATAGCTTGGACAAGTCAAAGTATTTTTCCAGTCTCTAACAGCAAATGTGATGATATATTTAAAGAATATTCTTTCTGAATACCTGTGCACACTGCACATCCCAGTACATACTGCACCACGAGCATCAAGGTCATGTATTCAATTGCACAGTAAACAAGGTAGGTAGCAGATCAACCATCCTTATTAAAATATTGCTACAGACAAGAAGACAACGATTTTTATTTTATAATCTGGCAAAAAAGAAGTAATGTAAGGTAAAACTCAGTCAAGCTACTTCTAAAATAGCTTTTTTAAATGAGAGCTAATCATTTTAGACAATTTATTTCAGTTTATTACTATGCTGTATAAATTGCTTATATAGTGCAAAAAATAATTCAGTTGAAAAATATAATGAGGTGATTAACAGCATGTCTTTTAATTTTGATATAATGAAAATAGGAAGAACATCCTTTAATTTAAGTGACTTGGCAGTTACTTAACAGCTCATGCACTTGGCATTACCATACTAATTGGTCTAATAGTCCTTTTCATTATCCACTATAACCATACACATTGATATTAGGAGAAAGCCAGGAGCTGAGAGAATAGGTCAGATATATGCCTCTAGATCTACAGGACTCCAAAAGGGGTCAAATAATTAGTAGACAAAACTAATAAAGCCAAAAGACCCCAGTGGAGCGGAAATAATTTGACTGTTCGTAACTTTCATTTGATAGTTCAAAAAGCATTTCAGGTCAATTATATTAATAGAAACCGTTTGAGTGAATAGATGCTAATGATGATCTAGAGCTAATTAGCATAGCTATTTTCACTCCATCTTCTACAAAGAGAAATGCAGAACATAGACAGAGAATCAAACTATCTTTCTGATGGAAATTGGCAGAGGACAAAAGGATGTGTGCAACAGCTTAGCAGCTTTTAGTGATAAGCCAACACTCTATGATGAAAACCAAAAATAAACACTGAAATTTATAATAATTTGTTAAATAAGACTTACAAGGGAAAACTGAAGCAAAACTGGAACAATATAGTCATTGACAAATATTAACTCTTACTTCTTTTACAGAAGCCTATTCTACTTCATTCCTCTTGCACTTTTCACATCAGCAAATGTTTCTGTATGTGCCTGTGTCTATCAGGCGCACAGAGGCACAGATGGTAAAAGTCACAGAAAATTGAGACATATTAAATAGGAAACAAATGTGAGACTACCTAACGAAAGAATATAGGAACTAGTATATTGGAACATACAAAAACTAATCCAAGACTTTTAAATTGATAGCTCTTCACAGGCAGATCAGAACTCAAACTTCTAGATGGTGTCAGGAAGAAGCAGTTTGGCTGTAAATCCTTTCATATGCTACTGAAGTTATTCTAAGTTCAGTTTCTTCTCATGGGTTACTGCGTAAGAAGCTGTTTTTATCTGTTTCAAACCCATACTTGATGAAATCTGGATACTTAAGACACAAAAAAATGCAATTTGGAGCCACAACCAAACATAGCTATGAAAAATCTCTGTGTGCTCAAATTCAAGTGTACAATTAAATTGCTTCAAATGAAACAACTCCTAATGCATGTTTTAATGAGGCTTATTGCAAAAGTTGAATCTGCTAACTTTGCCCCCAAGTCTGACTATTACGAGGGGTATATGTTACCGTGTAATTAAGCAGCAGTCGTGAATGATGCTGTCCTCCACGAATATGCCACTTTCTTCATCTGTTTCGATCAGGCGACCAGCATGGTACCAATGTACTTGGGTGGTATTGTCAACATATGTTGCCGTACACTGAAATGGCAAGCGGTCTCCATGAAAAACCACTTGTCTCTGTGATGGGATCAGCTCAAAAAGAGGAAGTTCCAGAGGCCCAGCTGCAGGGAAAACAAAACAAGGCAAAAATAGGAAAATAAGTCACAATGAACTCCTCTCATGAATATTGTAAAGTGAACTAGTTACATACAAATCTAGTTTCTTGGATGTTCATATTAAAATACTAACATAAGAGATATGACCAAACACTACTACTTAAGTCTGACCGTGTTTTCAGGTCTAGAGATCACATTTCTTTCATTGCTGTGAGCCCAGATAATTACAGGCTTACTAGAATATGTACAGAAAATGGGTTTCACAGAATAGTTCACAGAATAGTTGAGTCTGGAAGGGATCTTCTGAGACTCTCCAACCCAGTCTCCTTCTCAAGGCAGGATGCTTTACTATACAGTTATACAGAATGAAAATATCAGCCTTTCAATTAAAGAAAAAATACAGCTATTAATATAGGTACAGTAAACATTTGTAAGACCACTGTCATTTCATCTGAAATGCCCACTGTGCTCCAGAATTAAACTTACTGTCTAGAGAACCTAAACTACTTCATATGCCTGGGATTTTGATAATAATAAGACTAATAAAAGTTCAAACTTTCCCCTAAAGTTCAACTGCCCCTATGTTTTTCTTGTTTCCCTGTTCCTTCTGCCTATTCCACAAATCATCCTTACTCCCCAGATACTTACCTAACATTAAATATTTATCTAAATAGCTTTTTTTAATTTTAAGAAGTGTAGTACATTTAACCACTTTTTAAAATGAATTTTCTCCTTTGTCTTTCCCCAAGAAACACCCCAATAATGAGAATATTGCATATTCTAAGAAGACTATTACAAAAAACAGCTGCCATAATCACCTGCACAAATGCCTAAACACAATTGCAACATACATAGCATCGTAAATTTGGAAGGCATATGCATTTCTGGCCCTGCTGTTAATTTCATAGATATTTCAGTGATTGAAGGTTATTCTCTTCAAGCCTTCAGTCTCTATAGAGACTGATTCTCTAGACAGTAAATGTTTTCTTCTGTTTTTGTTTCTAGATCCCAAAACTACCTTAAGACAACTTCCGTAAAATATTTTCTATTTATTATGAGATTAATGCCATTTCTTTAACCTTGTAACAGAAAGTTGGAAAAGACCATTACAGGAAAAGTAACTGAAATAGAGGCTTTGCAACTCAAGAAACATGACCATCTTTGATGGGATAATGAGGAATAAAGGAAAACCATATTTTCTTTTTCCTGATAATAGTCTTCTTAGACAGATACTTAAATTGTCATTGCACAAAATTCTAATGGTAATGAGAATATTAAAGACTCACAAACATCACTCATGGAGACACTATCATTAACATGACGTACAACAATTCCAACAATACAACCTTTTCACCTCAGCCTTCTGAGCTTGGGTCACTTTGTAATGTCATTATTGCAATCGCATCTTAGAAAAAACACCTACAGCCTTGCACCTTGTTTATCATTCTATCTTCATGAGGAAAGAGAATTTTTAAGCTAGATCTCCCTTATTTTTCTTCTGTTTTCATTTAAAGGCCTCTCATCATTAATATCAATCCATCCTATGGGGTTGTCAGCTGAAAGGTCACCCTTCTACATTTGCCCCACTAGTAGCTATCTCAAACATCTATTTTTCTGAAAAGTACCTTTTTTTTTCCATTTTACTGCTCACCATTTCATCTTCCTTAAACTTTCCCTCAAAATCCTCCATTACCTATAACAAATACAGATGAACTTAGCAATGCCTATTCAGATTGCAAGCTGTAATCACTGCTTCTGGAGTTGCTAAAATTTGAGGACAACCAATAGTGTTTTCCTCTGCTTACTCAACAACCCACCCTAACACGCTTCTTTACGTTATTCAGATATTGTCTTTGGAACTCTTAAACTGTGAAAAGTTGCATTTGTAGACTTACCTTTGGGCCCTCATTACTATTGGAGTATTCAAGCGTTAGATAGTATATTCATCATCTGCTTTGAATAAACAGTGAGAGGAATCACTTCTACTTTTATTCAAAGGAAGAATGCTAGCAACCATAGCATGCAAGATGGGTACATGAGTAAATATGTGATGCTGCTGCCTGAAAGATGCTCACAGAGGATTAAGGAGCTGATTTCTCTACTGAAATGTTTGAAGTCTGCTGTGACTATCAAGGGCAGGCTGCAGACAGCCCTCCTTATTTATGTCCCCATCCTGTAATTTACCTTTTGATTGCACTCAGTATTTGTAGACATGGATGCATTACTAAAAATTCCTTGAAACATACATAATATTTTTATATGACCTTTAGCTTCTAATTAAAAGTGGAAAAGGTAAATCAGATTAATATCACATTCATAATAGCTGCAGCCTTGGTCTCAACCATTTATATAAAAGGTTTTTACTAAAAGATGGAGAGACACTCTCTCTCCAAAAAGTTGCAATCTTTCTGTTGTATTACAAAGTCAGTTATGGAATATAAGGAAAATATATGTAGTACAAATTTAACCCTAAATTAACAGTATGATTATGAAAATGGAGTCCAGAAAAATTAAGCATACCGTCACAAGTACAATATACACTACTCACAGAAACAAAATGCTTCTCATGAATACAGTAACTTTTAACTGAGGATGTCTCTAGTCAAATGGTTTTGGTCATGCAGTGGGTGGCATATTGCATCATGAGGCTATGAAGTAATAAGAGTGCAAACTAGAGTATCAATAATTTTCAGACAAGCTGAATAACTTGCCTGGCATATGGATGTAGTGTAACACTATCCCTCTGAATTCAACTCTGCCTTCATCATTCATTTCTAAGGCTCTCCCATTAGTCTTTCTGTTGCTCAGCCTTTGGGACCACCAAACCCAAAAATGAAGTGGGAATGAAGTGTTCTGTACAGATTTTGTCAATTAATGTTCAGAAGTAAGAGAAAACGTTTTTTACTGTAGCATGTCAAGAAATGATCCCTTGATTAAGATCAGTCATATCAATGTACATATCGTGTACTCTGCAAATTCTTTTAAGTGCCAACAAATATACAAAATGAATTAAACACACCTTTGGTTTACCATTATGCTAGGATATCCTCTTGACCAGCTTTGAGAATGTACCTATTTGGGTTGACAAAATTGATATATAATGCAGAAAACTCATTTTCAAAGTGGAATTAGTAAAATTTCTATGGATTATGACATTTGCAGTCCATGGAAGGCATACTTAAGTACTTCTGCAAAACAGCTTCTTTTAATCTCTGTGATGTCCACCAAAAAAAGACATTATTACCAGAGCTAATCTTCAGTTGTTTTCCAGAGATAATCATGATTTATATAACTGAGGCTGGTTCTGCAACTACTACTCATGCAAAAGTTCCAGCTGACTTCCATGACACAACTCACAGACATAAGGATTAATTGCATCAATAAGAGTTTCAGGATTAGGGCCAATACTCTTATCCCAAATGGCTATAAAATGATTGTATAGTTCCATCAGCAACAGCTGAAAATACTTATTTTAAGTCCATAATCCAACAATCTTTCAAATTCAGAACAAAAGTATATATTAATGCTGTAGACACATTTTAAAGCCTGACTTTGAGAATAAACTAAGAAGTAAGAAATTCTGAAAGTATTTGGAATGATTTTGGCATTGATTCGACAGCACTTGAAATATAACAGCTCTGGCAAAGTTACCCCTCCACTATAGAAATATTTTTTTTTATTATGTTATTGCTAAAGACTAAATTGCAATTGCTAAAATGTGATTACTAAACATATATCATCTCTGATGCTCATATCTCTGTGTGTGTGTCTGTGTGTGCATGTGTGTCTGTATGGTGGACACAAAAGCTTCAAAGGATTTAAAGTTTACTATTGTATGTTGAGAGGGGAGGGAGTAATTCACGGGGATTTTATTTCTTATTTACACACTTGAAAAATATTCCAAGATTCTCCTTCCAAGACAATCCACTCTGTTGCCCTTGAGTTTGGAGCCAGCACCACCATCTGCAAATGAGAGGTGTGACTCTCCTATAGGCGTTTAGATCGAGACCTGACGGAATGTTTTACAGTCTTTACCTGTCTTGTCTCTCTAGTCAGCACTAAACCATGATTGCAGCAGAGCACCACAGGAATCACTGATTGCAGCATGAATCTAAAGCTCTAACCCATCATTACAGTAATTACATCTTTTTCTTTATCTTTCTCTTCTCAGCAAAAAAGGGGTTTGTTGACTGAAGGCCAGACTCTCTATGAAATCTAGTCTTGTATTTCAGATTAGCTCTAGACTACAATACTGAAGACATACAGAGGAGAAATCACGTTACATAAATACCACTGAATTAGAATATCACTTAAGAGTCCTTCTCACAGGAAGTATATCCATGTACAGTTTAATGCATGCAGTGCCCCAAGATGTTGAAAAAGACAAATTATTTTAACAACTATTAACTAAGATAGAAAAGAAAACAAGGTGCACTGAAGCTCTAAGGAAATGTTCCAATGCATATGCCCTTAACATCTTTATCAAAGAATTTGTCTCATACATATGTGCACACATTAAATACTTCCTGGCTTTTCCTTGCAATTTGGTTCTTGAGATTTTAAAAGTATTTCAATTTCCCATCTAATTTTTGCCTCCTTTTTTGTTTTAAAATTTGGAAAGGAGAAGATTAGGAAGGAAATACTGCTATCACTTGACATACATGTAACAAAAATGCTGTAAAAAACCACAATATAAAGCAAATTTCTATCCATCTTTTAGTTACATTTTAAGTACAATATGATTATTTTTAGAATGTATGCACTTCTAATCCATGGACACTAATATCTTCTGGGTGAATGACCCAAAGCAAATGTGCAAGCACAAAAGCTGGCCATGTAATAGATTTATTTGTCTAAACACTACAGAAAGTTGGCTAGTCATTGGCCAACATGACCAGCACAAGGTATTGGAGAAACTACATCCTACCTCTAGCCACCTCTGTTGCATTCTCTGCTGCACGACCTATTACCTGGGCAGCACAACTCTACTGCTCAATAGCTACGAA